GTGGACACTGGTAACCAGTGCCCGGGGCACTATCCACTGAGTTCCTTTTGTTATTGGCTTTGTTCGCCATAGCACCAGACCCATCTCCAGATTCTACAGTCCCATCCTGAGTATCTCCAACGGGCACTTCTCCTTCATGTCCATGGCCTGTGTTTCTTACTGGGTCTCCTCCCCGCTGGGCTGTTTCACGTCCTCTACCTCTTGCTCCACCACTGCCACAGCCTCCTCGGAAGAAAGACCTCTCGTCCTTGGGCTGTGAGTAAGAAACCTCTCTGCGCTTGGCTATCATCCAGCTTCCCCACTTCTTGTCAGTCTCCATCCATACCCCATTGCCACACTCCTCAAAACCGTGTCCCATAAGACCACAGACCTTGCAGAAGAAAGGAAAATTTTCATATTTCACCACTAACATTCGTCTCCCCTCTCCCTTCACAGATAGAGGAGTGAATCTTGTCAAAGGTTTCGCAGAGAGGACACGAACCCTAACCCTGGCATAGTCACCCTCATAGTACAGAGTAGGACGGAGTTGAACCTCTCTGACTTTGCCAATTCTGTGTGCTAGCTCATCGACCACCTCTGGATGGCGGTAAAGATCGGGAACCTTGTGAATCTGCGCCCATACATACAGGCCATCAAGCACATATATATTCTTCTGGATCCGTCGCCCCATCGTAGTCCTCAATGACTACCCATAGTTTCGAAAGAGCCATGGACCACCGTGGACTACTTTCTTCCAATCTCCCAAGCAAAACATCTGGAATATGAATCTATTCGCTCCCGCCTCTCTGAATTTGGGCGTTTGTGCTAGTCCCCAGATAAACTTCATGGTATCAAAAAACAACGACAAACTAAAAGGACGATCCGTGTTAACTCGTGCGATCGCCAGCCATCGAGATTCCTCCTTAAACTATTTAGCCTTTTCCTTCCCAATGACCACGTCGTCCAGCTCTTCATCCATAAGCTCCATGTTCTTCAACATCTCCTCCAGATCCTCCTCCCCCGTCCGTCCCGATCGCGACGAAGAGCCAGTCGCCGCTGCCATCAGGTTAGATACCTGTAGATCACCGGGGTTTCCCTCGCCGTTCTGGGAGGCAGAGGCTAGGATAGGCCCCCGGGATTGCAAAAAACCTCCTGCCAGTGGATGAGATCGCCAGCGGAGGTAAGGAAACCCTAATCGAGAGGGTAAAGCAGGTTCCTTTTGTACTCAAGTGTCGTTTACTTAAGCGCTATGTGACGCAACACAATCTTCTACTGGGCCACAGCATCAGCTAAAACCCATTATCCATCCTCAGCCGAAACCGTCACCACGAGCGAAGGCGGCCATTGCTGGGCTGGTGGCCGTGCTCATTTCCTTGGGCCATGGCCTCACGCCGCAAAGCGAAAGCAACCTAACTAGGTCTTTCTTTTTTACGGGAAGGTATACTTTATTAACTCAAATAACGGTTACATCATCCGCTAGGAATTTAACAAGAAAATTAGAAGGTGCATCTGCCCAAACATGAGGGTCATTTGCACACCCCCACTTTGCCAGCTCGTGAGCTACTACATTTGTCTCTGTAAAGCAATGTTCAATAGTAACCTTCCCAAAACCACTCAAGATATTTCAACAATCATCTAACACAGGCGCTGCAACCATTGAATGGCCTTCGTTTAGCTTTATTGCATCCACCACAACACTGTTATCCATTCTTACCATCAACTTAGCACATCCCACACTTAGGGCTTATTTTAAACCTTCAAACAGTGCTGTTGTTTCTGCCGCGACAACATCAGCGGCGTGTTCAAGTCTTGCTGTTGCAGCTGTGATGAAACAACCTTTATGATCCCCGACAACCGCCCCGCATGCACCTGAATTTGTCCCAGCAAAATAGGATGCGTCCATGTTCAGAACTAGATGCCCTGGTAAGATAGATGACCACTTGTTTAATTTAGCAACAGTCGGACCTTTCCCTACAACACGAGCGTAGTTGAGGGCAACCAAACTAGGTCTGTTTGGTTCACCTCAAAACAAAAAAAGGTCTGTTTGGTTGGGGACTAAAAAGAGAGCAACCAGTTAAAGAGCGCTTCTTCGGAAGGCTCACAATTATACCTAGCCATGGGAAGCCCGGCCCGGCCCGACGCTGCCCCCGGGCCGGGCTCGGGCCTAGATTTTGAGCCCGAAGGCCGGGCCGGGCCGGGCCGGGTCCGGGCCCGTCGTTTTTGTGCTTTCCTAAAGGTCGGGCCGGGCTCGGGCCCAAAAAACAGGCCCGTTGGTCGGGCCGGGCCGGGCCAGGGCCTGGGTTTTTTGTGTCGGGCTTGGCGGCCCGGCCCGAAGCCCGGCCCGGCCCGAGGTATGGCCAAGTATACTCACAATGATCAACGCCACTTGGCACGCTTTCGGTCGCCCGCCACGTGTCGCGCTCTGGGCGCTCCCTTAAGATTTTGTTTTTTTATTTTTCCGCACGTGTTTTCGGTTTTTTAAACGGTTTTTATTGGTTTTTTTACGTTTTTGTTTTCCACCAGTCTTCCTTAACTTTTAGAACAAAAAAATGCGCGAAAAAACGCGTTTTTTTATCGCGAGAGTCACGGCCGTGATTCTTGAAAACGAAAAAAGTGTGTTTTCTGGTTTTTTTTCTTCCGCGGGAGACACGGTTTTGCTTTCGAGAGAGGCACGGTTGTGCTTTGGCGAGAGGCACGGCCGTTCCTCTCAAAAACGAAAAAAATACGTTTTCTGTTTTTTTTTATTCCGAAAGAGGCACGGTTTTGCTTCCGCGAGAGGCACGGTTGCCTCTCGGAAACGAAAAAAACCCGTGTTTTCTATTTTTTTTCTTTCACAAGAGGCATGGTTTGTGCTTTCGCCAGAGGCACGACCGTGCCTCCTCAGAAATGAAAAAAATACGTGTTTTCTCTTTTTTTTCCTTCCGGGAGAGGCATGGGCGTGCCTCTTTCGAAAAGGGAAAAACCCCGTGTTCCCAGTTCGGTTTTTTCATCTGGTTTTTTCCATTCGGTTTTTTTGAAAAAAAAAGGTTTGTCAAAATCTATCAACATGGGATCTAGTTTTCAAGATCAACACGAGGAATCCAACGGTGAAAACGGTTCGAGATTTGGACATACAGTTTAAGAGGTAAAACGTTTTGAATAAACGAATCTTAGAAAAAAGGGAGAACTCCCAGGTTACGACAAGTGGCGCAGGAAAGTGGGAGTGATCTTTACAACGAGTACTCCTTAACTAGTGATTTCACTAAAATTGACATGCCTAAGTTGAGATTTCAGCCACACTTGTGGGTTGTGGCGTGCCACAGAAAGTGTGGCAAGCTAAATGGGCGCCTCACATTTGGCGAGAATTCCTGCTGCAGAAGCTCCTTTGCGTTGTGGCGAGCCAAACCTGCATACAAAACCAAACACCAGCCTAGGAAGATGTGGCAAGCCACAGCTTTGGCGTGGCAATCAATGACCGGGAACCAAACATCGCCAACCAGCCAGCCAGCCAGCCGCACGCTTACCAAATCTTCATCACCGGCCTCTGGAAGCTGACATACATACATATACAAGACACGAACCAAAAGCAAATAGCTATATCAGCGATGTAGGAAGCGCCAGGACGCAGCAGAAGTTACAAGAGCAAGTTTCTCGGGGACGTGTACTGAAGTTGCTCCATGTGCACAACAGCTTACGCATCTCTACAATTCTGCAGCACGAGGAGAGAACACTCTGCAGCACAGCGCTAATTAAGTATACTTACGTTGGGGGTTACTGCTATATATCGCACTTACTACGTTTGAAAGCTAACCGGAAGCCGTCCGTCCGTCCCTCGACGCGGCAGTGCTGACGCTGCTACTCGACCTCGCGCTAATGGAGTGATCTCCTCCTGCCTTGTCCTTGGACGCTATATGGGCGTCCATCTCCCGTCGGTCGGCAAACGACAGGAACGCGCGGAAACTGCTGCGGCTGGAGCGGGAGCTGCCGTCGGCCGACATCTGCCGCCGTTGCTCGCAGTACTTGTGAAAGAGGATGCCGGCGTGTATGGCGAGCGCGACGAGGCACGCCACGCCGCAGATGAGGAACAGCCCCGAGAAGCTGTACACCTGCAGCCGGTCCGACTCCAGCTCGTTGTTCTGAGACGTGGACATTGCCGCGTCGTTCGCCAGCCACTTGTCGTGGATCCGCTGGAGGTCGCCGTTCTCCGACAGCGCCAGGATGGATGTCGACAGGTCCACCGCCAGCGGCGAGTCCCTCGGGAACGCCTGACAATAAAATGCCCAGGTTAGCTCTGCATCATAACTTCACTGAAACTAGATGCTATTATTTTCACCAGGTGGAAAGAGATAAACTCACGAAGCCCCAGCCGCTTTTGGTGAACTCCGAGCCCACGACTGCGAATTTGGGATGCAGAAGCAAGAAGATCTCAACATAGGGACCCTCGTCGACGATGGCAGTGACGCCTCCATTGGCAGGGCCAAGCTCAAGCGCTTGCTTATACTCGTCCGGAGAACCGAGGGATTTAAGCCTGTGTCTCGAGACACCGAGCTCGTTCACGAGGTAACTTTCCGCAAAGGAGCCGACTTGAAACCCGATGGGCTCGTCACTGGCGACCAAGCTATCGATCCCTGTGATTGGAGATATGAGCTGCTGCACGGTGAGTATGGAGGTCAAGCTGGCAGTGTAGCTGGACTGGATGATCAGAACCACGAAGAGCCATATGATGATCACGAAGCGGCCAAGGGTGCTTCTCGTGTCCTCTCCTAAGATAAAAATGCACAAGAACTTTAGTGAATCGACTGGAACATCTTCATCAATGGTATGTAGAAAGGTTAACAGTTGCCTTTCACTCACTGTGCGCGAAGAACAGAGTTGAGAAACTGAACCTGCACAAGGAAAGTTAACACAACATGTAATTAACCTCAAGCAAACAAGACCCTTGCATCGTTCAAGAAACTAGATTATGATAATTTCTGGCATGACGCCCACTCAACTGATCATCTATACCGAACAAAAGTAGAACTTCCTAAAAAAAACTTTTCAGAAGGAAGTGATTTGGTTAAGAAAGAGCTCTCACGAGATGCAGAGTACATGGCTGCAAGCCCACCTACACTCAGGTTCAAAGTCACTTCTAACTTAATGTAAAGTGTGCAGGAAATAAGTCTAATCCCCGGGCTCACGTCTATACATATGCGTGTTAAAATGACATCACAGAAGTAAGTCAGTAGCTACAGCCTACAGCCACTAGACTTTGTATTGACACAATCTAGAATGGCACTGAGATGCCAACAAAAGACCCAACATAATTTGCTTGCTTTGTACAGGATGATCGGCAAAAAATGGTTAACTTGCAACACTTTGGGGTGGAGGGCGCTTTGCCCACTCTCTCTTCTTTAATGCATGATACGCACACTCGTGCGTATTCGAGAAAAAAAAACAGCAAAAAGTGGCTCCAATTGGTATACTAGGAGACCTTACCAGAATACAGTGATAACCTGTTTCACTGGAGGCCCGCGGAAATCATCATTGATTCTGTGCTCTAGCAGCCAAACCACCGTTCCTATGACAAGAAAGAACAGCCCTGTGACGCACCACATTTTGATGGTGAATGGCTGCAAAAAGGCCCATCCACTCGAGCTTTGCTTCTTAACAGAGGTAAGTACCACAAGTCCTGACTCAACATATGGCTGAGTGAAGTCAACAACCCTTGTCCGGTTTGTGACAATAGCTATATCACCTACCACAGCATCGAATTCCTAGACATAAAAGATCATTAGTACTCCACCTGTACAGATACATTAACTGTAATAAGTGGTGTAGATTTTAAGAACGCGAACTTACATTCGTTAGAATATTGTTGATAAGGTCTGGATAGCTTGGATTCTGACTACCATCCCCAAACGGAACAAACTTAAATGGAACTGGATATTGTAACAAGTTGGCTGCAGCAACAAACACATCAATACAGAAACCACGCACCGTTCCACTGTTATTGTCAACTGACACAAATTGACGATAACTTGCCCTATTGGGAACTCCAATTTTCAGCTCAATTCCATTGTTGGGAAACACCCATCCACGTGGCCTTACTGTAGTCTCACCTGGCCATATCACAGTGTGGAGTTTCTGATCTCCCCTAATACGTTTTGCTGGTTTCATGTAAAGAGTCTCAGGCAACGAGGTGGACAGGCCAGAATAGTTGGACCAGTGACCAACTGTCCGCAGACCAGATCCCACTATGTTAACAATGTCGTACGCAGGACGGATAAGATTACCATCTGTATCAAATTTTACAGGGCCAGTTGCACCCGTGAAATTCACTTGCTGGATTCTTTCTAGTAACAGCCTCCCCCCATCAAAGACAGTCATAGCTTTCAATTGCAGACCCCCTGCCCCAACTTCATGTAGCTTGGTGTCGTTTGAGAAAGAAATGTTTCCACCTCTACTGAAATATGCATCCAGCGCATAAGCAAGGATCCAGACAGTATCATAAGCATAAAACCCATACGAATTAATCAAGAACAGGTCGTCAACACTATCCTTCTTCACCAGTGCACTCCATTTTGAAGCTAGCATGCTCTTCCTTCTTGTATTTTCTGTGTGCTGGCGTAATGTGAGAAAACCCTGCATTGTGCTCAGTAATCCGATGTCAAGACGTGGCGATGAATCCAGGATTGAGCTGAGCCAATCTGTTGCAATCCACACATACCCGCTTGAGGTCATGCCGAGATTGCGTGCCAATGAGAGAAGTGCAAGCCCAGAGTCAGGATTTGCATGCAGAATTACGACTCGAGATTCCATCAATGCAACCCTGACCAGCACACTAGCCATCTCACTCTTTTTTGCTCCTGGTCTAACTGCAGCTTTATATGAAATCTTACCCCGCCTCTTGACAAGTTCATCACCTAAAGAGGCTATGCCGTTTCTTCCATAATCATCATCTATATATATAGCTGTCACTTGCTTCCACTCATAGTAGTCGACTAAGTCAGCAACAGCAGCCATTTGAAAATGATCACTACGGGTTGTCCTCACCAAGAAAGGAAACTGAAGTGACGTGAGAGTTGGATCAGTTGCACCGAAGGACAGCATAGGCACTTGAAGTTCATTTGCAACATGAGAAATAACATGCGCGATGACAGAAGATTGTGGGCCGATGATTGCAACTGTATCTTTCTCCATGAATTGCAATGCTAACACATGCAACAAAGAAATTCGTAAGTCGTATACCATGTGGGTCATAACATAAATCTGCATGATTCGGTGGCTCAGAAAAACAAACATGAAAGAAGTACCTTGCACAATGCCAACGAAGCCACTGCAGTTGGAATCTTGCATCTCGACAACCAGGTTTGTGCCTGGAAGGATGCTTGAATCGTTGTTGATCTCATTGACAGCAGCAGAAATGGCAATCTTGGCAGCTCTCCCTATCGTGGAATTGAATGTGAAAAGAGCTCCAACGCTCACTGTATCGGGCCTCGCATAGATATTCTTGCTTAGTGCATACAGACAACAGAAAAGAACCCAAAAATGGAGTATGAACTTCATGACGAGTCTAGAAGACTACTGAGGTGTTCTTAGGCGTCCATGCTTCAGCTCAACAACGGACAGGCTGGAAGAACAAAAACAAAAAATTTCTGATGATGCATGTCAAGCAGATATGATGCCTAGCTATAACACAAAATAGTACTGGAGTTATGAATTGAAAAGGATGGGCAGTTGCATAAGCCTATAATCAAAAGGTGAAGGACTAGGGAAAGAGAGGAGGATAAATCATATGTCAATATGAACTGGGGCTCAACTGAACAGAAACGGACGGCTCCTGACAAGAAATGTTGGGAAGGCAGCATCCCCAAGACAAAAAATCAGCGGATGCTACCTTTGAAGATTCAGAAATTAAGAGACCCTTCATCTTAAGATATGCTTATCAAACAGAAGCTGTATAAGAAGCATAATAAGAAAGGAAACAAAAGCAAGCTGCTGCGATGAACTCAACCACCGGGATCCCCATGAGTGCGAGGAGCAAGGGAAAAGATCTTCCACGAGGTTGACATGGAATTAAATCTTCTTTTGAGGAAAACAATTGGGGGAATCCAAAAGCGTGGTGCATGCAGGATTAAACAAAGATTTGACCCCTCAACCTCTCTCTTTCCCCCTTTTCTTTATAAGAATCCAGACGAAGTGACTCTTACCGCTGGGCCTGAAGAAGCTCTGGTCGTGAGTTGCTTCTAATCAGATGACACGAGATGGGTGTGAAGCGCCGGTAGCCGGTGCGAACAAGAGGTGCTTGTGAAGCGTCACCAAATGTGACACCACCAGGGGTTTGGTGCCTCTGAAGTCGATTCACCGCAACTCGAGTAGTTAAGTCCAGATATGGCCTCGGAGCCGAGATGCCAACGACTGTCTAGCCTGTTAGAGGCAGGCTGCTGCTTGCTGTGCCCCATGTCATTATCTGGAGCAACAAAATGCAATCTTATTCTCTAGAAAACTCTCCGGTCCTCATGTCAAACATGTGGTTGGAGGTTGCAAGAGGAGCGAACTGGAATGCATCTAGGCAGCACATGTAAATATGTGATGCCAACGTACCCCGTAGCACATCCCACACGTCCTCTGTAGGGAGCTTATGTGCGTACCTGTCAAGAACCTTGTCAGGTCGGCTGACTCAGCAAGGGACCCATCCGATGGCAGCTGCAATCATGCGCGCTGGACGGAGTTCCCAAGAGATGGCCTACAGCAGAGCAGTTAGCCGAGGAAAAACTAAGGCAGTAAGATGTTTGCAGTGGGAGAGGGCGGGTACCTGAGGATATGTGGGTTGGGCGTATGGATGGACTAGATAGTTCGGCAATCCCGATCCACATTTAGTACCTGGAAAGGTCAGCAGCAGCAGCAGCCTCCGTTCATTCGGAGCACCCGCTGTGCACGCCACAAGCTGCTAGAGCCAATGAAGACGACGTTAGGCCAGATACAACATCAGGCGAAGACGATATTTTGTAGCTGTTTACACCGTCCTCACATGGCATACCTCATAATACGCTGTATTTCATGTGGGCTCCAAATACTAACCTGTTGGTAGCATGAGGTGGACTTGCCAATATCTTAGTAGTGATTAGTAAAATCCAAACTCCAACCTTTCTAAATCAGTCACATTGCCCACGCTCAGGGGTTAAACAACGTGGCTGACGTGCATAAACCAATCCGTCTTCAATAGAATCTTCAAGAGAATATCGTCGCACGATAGGCCCACAAATATGGATTATAAATATTTCCCTGTGCAACACTTGCACGATTGCTTAAGCTGAAACGGCATTTGTTACTCTACATAAATAATTGGCAAAAATTCACGATTACATCTTAGACCGGCAGTAGCCAGAAGAAAAACTTCCTCACATGGTTTTATACTTCACTACTTTCAGCTCATATATTGTGTTACAACACTGGAGTACTGCTAAAATAGCTTTGAGGCAATATTTCCGCAAACACTGCACTTGCAATGAAATGTTACACCCTGTCTGGCCCTACTGAGATCTACACCCGTGACCTTTTAGCAGGTGAGGCATCGACGGTTTCTAGCGTGTGGACCGTAGTTCCTTCTACGCTAGCTTGCGCCCCGGTATTCGACTGGCACCCAAAGGTCCATCCAGGAAAATCTGACTCTTGAAATAAAGATGTTGGCGTACTTCTGTAGAACGCAAGTGGGACTTGTTTTATCCGCCGCCGGGCCTACAATTCAAATTCAAGATTGGTAAATTTTAGCAACCCTTAGTGATGTTTAATAATGAGCGTCAAGTGGCAGTAGATAGGACTCCTATGATAACGACCCGGCTCAGGCTTGAACACAAAAATTTAAACAGTTAAGCAATAAGAGGGTGGCAAAGCTGGTTTTGCTAGACATGTTTTAGGCTGACATAAATCAGAGAGAAATATCTAGTGGAAGGTGTGGTGAAGACCTACCTCATCTTGGCAAACTATATAAGTGGTAAATAAGTAAACGCAGAAAGCTGTGGGTGAATGTAGTCAGACGGGTGCAATGCAGGCATACCTCATCTCGGAAAACTGTCGCATAGGAGCCTGAACTAAAGTCTGTGATCTTCATCTCCATTGTTTTGGCCCGAACAGTGAGATCAGTTTCAAGCGACGCAACAAATCTGGCAGCGGTATCACATGAAATGAGCTGAATAATCAAACAAGAAAAAGGAGACGCCATTGAAATTGTTATCTTCCTGATACCTTGAAACTGCAGGAGTGTAGTGATGACGCAGCGTATCTATTTCCCACAAAGAACTTCCTGTGGTGCATAATCAAAGATGAATATATGATAGGCAATAAACTGTCCATGAGATCTAGACGAAAAGAAACTTTCAGTTGAGATCATTATTTTAATTTTGATTATGTTATGTGCTGGCTATTGTGAAGTCACTGGACTCTGGCAGCTGACTTGGGCCATATCCGCCAGACTCAGGTAGTCGACTTGGCCATGGTGCTACCCGCAGGTCATACTGGAGTCGGCTACACAGGACTAGTCAATGTTCGGCTACACAGGACTAGTCAATGTCCTACATCCAGTTAGTTCTACTCCGAAGTCCAATGGGAAGTAACACTTTCCCTTTGAAACAAAAAGCTGTGGCCAGGTTAGGGGTTTATCTTTCTTTTG